CATGACTGGTCCTAAGCTTAAGGTGCGTAGAATTAGCAGGCAAAAGGGGCCCCTATTTTCGGGTTACTTTTTGATGGTTAAAAAACGTTAGTGCTAACGGATGCAACATTGTTGGCCAACAACTCCCGACATTGTCGGGCCAACAATGTTGGGAGTTGTTGCGTAACAATGTTGGGAGCTGCAGTGCTCAGTGGGAAGGATACGGTTTTCAAACTTTGCGCAATAACTCCCAACAACATGCAAACGGGTGTGCAAACGAACGCAACTGGTAACATCCAACATTTTTTGGAGTTGTTCATGGGCAATAATGTCCCGACCGTTTGTACGGGGCTTAACTTTCTGCATAAAAAAGAGCGGAAAAGAAAAGGACCGTGACTAATCTGGTGCTGGCCCGGAGGGGTACTTTAGGAATATCTGGGTGGGGATGTGCCAACCTCGTCCCCAGGGTCTTCTCGCTTTCCAATATGGCGGCGGCAGGAGAGAAGACCCTGGCACACAGCAGAAATCACGTGACTGATTTGTCCACGGAGAGTGGAAATTTATTCAAAATGGCGGCCAAGATAAAGAGTGAGAGGATCTGGGTACGAGGTCTTGAGACTGGTGAAAAACAAACAAAATGGCGGCAAAGACAGGGCGGCAAAGGCAAACTCAAAAGAAGCTGAAAATATGAAAGAATGCACTTACAAGCCACAGGAATACGGTAGAATGATATAGCGATCTTATTTTCTGTTCAATGACCTTCATTTGTTTTAAGCCTGAATGTTCTGTAGCGTACACGGCACTTAACAACTGTCTACAACTTAATTTCTCGATACCGACCTTTTTTCACTGTTTACTTTTTTTGCCTACCCTGAGTGCCAGAGGTTCAGTTTTCTTTTTTCGTGAAAGGGGGAGCTTTTTCTAACCGTGGGTTATTTCATCTTAGGAATTTCGAGAACAGACCTCAGAAGCCAGGGAATTTTTTGCCATGACGCTCTAAAACCTCTTCCGTTCCGAAATTCAACTAAGCATTAACTTAAGTCGCAGACACTTTAAGCTGATAAGTTATCGTCAGTTTTGTTACAGATGTTCATGAGGTTTTTGACTATTCTTTTTCTATCTGCACTCATTTTAACTGAACTCTGATATGTAAAAAAACAATTTTTTTTCTCAAAAAAGAACCAGAGAACACTATTTTGTTAAGACAATTTAAGGAAACTTTGGTTGAAACTGAAACAGTTCCTTTTCAGTTTGGATATTTTGTCACTTGATCTGGTGCAGGTAATAAAATTATTGTCAATCTTGATCTACCTCACAGTTTTTAGACTTTCTTATTGGCTTTTGATATCTAACCCTGTTCACAATGCTTCAGGGCAATAGAGATAGGGGCCTTATTTTATCTAGCAAAGACGCTGATATTAGTTCCCCACACAAAAAAAATGCCAACTGAAAAAGCCCAAGTACAAGAAGGTTGGAGGTCAAGCAGCCGATGATCAAAAACAAATCCGAACTTCCAGTTGCTGAATAAACCATCCGGTCCACACAAAGTTTTACAGTTGTCATTGATTGATACAGTCTTTTATTTATTAGTGAAGAATAAGAAAAGGAGGGGAGGTGGGATGGGGGTTAAAAGAGAGGGGGGCTTATTGTTAAAACTTTCTTCCACTGAAAAGGAGGGCTTATTTGAGAGAGTGGGGCCTTAATAGAGGATTTAATATGTTGTTATTGTTTTTTTTTTGCCTCTCAGATGTAAAAAAAAAGCATTAACCCCGCTTTAATAGCTACCACAAAGTGAAGAGTGTTTCCATTGGTTGTAATTTAGCAATCCAAAATGTATTCTTCACTTTGAAATAGATTTTTATTTTTTGAGCAAGAACTTTCTTAATCCCTGACTTTGGTTTATTTTACATATCACTTGGGGCTGCACTTTGCCATGACAATTTACAAATTGACTAAAGGCTAGACTCCAGTTGTTCAAAAATTTGATAGTCCTATCTGACTCATGTGCACTGTAAAAGTTCCTATCTCATTTGGAGATAATAATCTTTTAAGTCAAACACGCTTTGCGTGTCAGATGGGCCCTTTCGTAGTCTAATTGAGACATAACTTGGTAGTGGTGTGCTGATTATCTATCATAATCTATCATTCATCTGAAACCTAAAGCAAAGTGAGTACTGCTTAATATACAAACGTTCAATTGATTGTTGTGGAAAATACACAAAAACATTGTTAACAAATTAATAAGGACATTAATACACCTGTGTTGTCTTTTTGATGGACTCTTAGTGTAGTTTATATGATGTTTAGTTGGTTTAACTATGTGACAGATAAGTTTCTGCTTGCGAGGTAGGTTTTTATTTTATTCACTTACAAAAGTATTTTCAGTGTTGAAAGTGGTACACAGGGGTCACAAAACTATAATCTACTATAATTGATTATCAGTTTAATAGTTGGGTTAATCTGATTATTTCCGATGATATGATTATGATCCAGACACTATGACTAAGACTAACCAACACCTTAAAGTAGACTTTGGAAGTATTTGAGCCAGCACATCTAACAGCTGCATCCTCACAGCCCAACACCTATACAACTTAAAAGCCTTGCCTTGTCCCTGTGTGGCATTTTCCCAGGTCTTCTTGGTCAATTCATTTCTGTGACTTATCTTAGGCAAACTGGAGGGAAACTGTTTCACTATATTGCTTGGGGCCACGTGACCCGAAAATCATTGGCCATGACTAGGCAACTAAAAGCTCACTATGGTAATGGGGACTCTGGTGCAAAACACTTCAAAAGCCTTGGCATCCCTACATGAAAAATACCGGGATCAATATGCTGCAGGCCCCTTCCGCTATTGTTTATTCAGTGGATAGTGATATATGCACCCTTTGAAGCAGTTTATTTTTTAAAATCCAAATTTTAGAACTGAATTATAGCTGCTTCATAATCATACCCAGCTGGTTTTGGAATACTACAATGCCAGCCACTATTTCAGGTCCACAAACCCCCTTTTCAAGCATATGGTGACAAGAACATCATGCAGTGACAAGAACAACATGCACACTTAGCCTACAGTAATTAGAAGCTCAATTAACAGGTTTTGGTTTGACAGAAAACGTATTTATCTTAGGATCACTGTCACCCCATCTAAGGGAATCTGGAATCTGGGAAATTTTTCTCTTGGAATCTGAAATAAAGGTCAAGTACTCTGGATCCCACTTATAATTGGAATCCAGAATCCAAGTTCCACTGACAAAGAATACAGAATGCAGTATCCATGGAGCAGAATTGAGAATCCAAGACTGTCCGATTTCCTTGCATGGGCTGATCATTATTTTCAACTTGATAAAATAAAAGACATCATGTGCTTTCATTACAGTGGAACCTCGCCTTACGACCACCCCGTTTATAAGACCACCTCGTTATTACGGCCATATTCCTTCAAACCAAACGTAAAAACCATTGACTCATTTTACTATTTTGACGACCTCGTTAATGCGACCACCTCGTTATTACGACCAGGATTTTATGGCCCAACGGTGGTCGCATTAACGGGGTTCCACTGTATTTTATTTTTGCAACTAGAAAGACTAACTAGAAATATGCAAGTTTTTCATTTCTGAGAAAAGGAAACAGTTTATTTTCCCAATATCTCTGTATTTAGCTGTATTTTACTGCCTATGAAATGAGCAAATAATAATAAATTATCATTATTGTGACACTAAAAACTGAATAAATGAAAAGTCAGGATTAAAAATATCGAAGGATAGCGACAATATGTTTGGCTTCAATTTCTAGTTTTGTTTCGACATCTGCCTCTCTCGCTCCTCATGCCCCTTCAAAATCACAGTGAAAAAAATTAAAAGAAGGCCAGGTTAGGCCCATGCATGTTACGATCAAATGAAAAAAAAATGCTTCACTGGACAAAAAACTGCTGAGACAAACCACAGATTATGCACGATTTCCGTATTACCCCATACATTAATAATATTATGCATACAGCTATTGTTGAAAGAAAACAAAAGGCAGTTTGCAAACGGACAGCTAAATTTATTGATAAGCTGAAGCCTTGCAAGTATTCTTTGACAAATCGGGAATTAAAGAAACAAATCTTTAGTAATTTAGAACACACAAACCAACTAGAACGAACAACAGAAATACCTCTACGCCTTATAATATTCCCAGCGATTACCATTTCAGATATCACTATCTTCGAATCTTTGCCTTCCAACGGTACAGTCACAGTTTTCCGAACAATCAGACCCGAATTCTGTCCACCTTTTAGGTCTCAAACACTGAAGAAAGCACTTCTCAGTCTCTACGAAGCCCTGAAATCTTAACCATCTTTGTTTTGGGAAGGAATAAACCAATGAGAGCGCACGTATGAACGCACCATGGAATGCACCAATCAGCGATCGTTTTAGTTCGCTGTGTGCCAGGGTCTTCTCTCCTGCCGCCGCCATATTGGAAAGCGAGAAGACCCTGGGGACGAGGTTGGGGATGTGCCGCTGGGACCCTGGAACCCTTAAGCTATACCAGAGCTACTTCAGCTGAATTTTGCTACCCAATACTAGAGTAAACTCCCCAAATCCCCCCTATCCTAGAGTAGCTGTTTCCCTAGTCTAGATAAAATCTTCAACCAACTGATCAGTTTCCTAAAAAATGATACCCTATTCTAGACCCAAACGCTCTGATTTATATACCCTATCCCAGAGTAAACTGCTTGAAAACCATACCCTTCACAGCGGCACATACCTATATCGCCCATATATGGCAGTACCCAAGCCCCCCCCAACCCCCGCCCCCCGCCCGGGGGTGCTGGCGACCAATGAACTTATTGCGCAATAATGTTCAGCAGGGAGTACAGCGGGCTCAAGTGTAGTTTTTTCGAGGAATCATCGCTCTCTCGTCGCTCTCTCGTGAAATGTAGAGTAAAGCTTCCTTGTGAAAATCTGGTTAATATAAGATTTCTAAGCTCATATTTTGTAAATACACACCTTCTGACTCACCTGGACAGCAACATGGGCAAGTTGAATGTGTCGATGCTTCGATATCTCTCCTCCGAGGAATTTAGGGTGCTGACAGCGGTAAGTTGTCACTAAATTAAGACTGAAGTTGGAACACGTGTTAGGAAAGTACGAGTCAGTTCATCGAACCAAAGGGCAGATTGCAATTACCGTAAACAGTCAGTTTCGATGAGGTTTGTTTTAAAATGGCAGAGGAAGGGGAAATATAATATTATTGTATGTGAGAGGCTAGAACACGTCACGTCAATGGGCTTATTAGACTAGGGACTGTCGACATATTGGGCTATTTTATTTAATATCCGTCCCCCCCGGTTGAGGACTTACCTTTTCTTCTTACCCATGAAGATTGATTAAAATTGCATTCATCCCTGAAGACTTCCATAAAATATGGGCTTAACCCTGAAGAATATGGGCACTACATGTACCCCTGAAGAATATGGCTTTACCCCTGAAGAATTTTGTGAAAATTAAAGCTTCACCCCCAAAGAATTCCATATTTTTTTACTCTACCCCTAAAGAAATCCTCAATTTTTATAACTTACCCCTGGAGAATTCCTTGGTTCTTCAACCAGGGGGTGCGGATATTAAATGCAATAGTCCTTTCACTTTTTCTCCGCTATTGTCAACTGGATGTTTAGGTCAGATCCCCGCCCTCCCCCCTCCTTAACATCCACTTCATTTTTTGCTGCTGCAAAAGTCGCTTCCAGAAGGAATACTGAAATCTGTGAAATACCCTTACTTAAGGATATCAACGGTATCAACACAATTTACTGCATTTAAAACGTGGTAGAAACCTCATACTTCGAATTATGCTTTCTCCCACCTGTTCTCTTACAAAATCTGCGTAACTGCTCAGTTTTAAAAGATCAAAATGTAAAATGTGCCAGTAGTTAAGTGCAGAGGTGAAAAGATCGCAGTTGACACTCGCTTCTATGATTGGTCCTACTCCGCTCTTGCACTTTTGTCCAAAAATACCACGCACAAACATCCACTGCCTTACCCTCTTTCCCATAAATGCCCAGTTGAAGTTAAGTAGGGGAAAAGTGAATATGTTAATGGCCCCTTACTTATTATTCAGCTGCAGCTGAGGGGCATTTTTGGACAATAGCAAAGTGATACATTGATTTTCATAAATTTTAGGTAATGTGTGGAAAGGTGCTCGTGACATTATTTAAGAGAAAGCAGGACCAATTGTACCATTTAAATTGTGATCATCAAATCCAACTGCACCCAATATATTATTACTTTTTGACATACTTTAAACATGGCGGCCGTGGCTTTGATTTCTGAATACCGTAGTGTAGTAGTAAATCAAAAGTATCAACAGGAAAAAGCAGTTATGTAGATTTTGCAATAGAACAGGCTGGAGAATTGTGCAGTAAATTGTGTTGATACCATTGACATCGTAATGCAAGTGCATGTCAGTATTCATTCTGGAATACAGTGACTTTTGGGGCAGCAAAATTTCAAGTGGACGTTAAGGAGAGGGGGAGGGGGCTCTGACCTAAACGTCCAGTTGACATTAAGTGAGGAAAAAGTGAATATGTCGACAGCCCTCACAGGTGTGACTACAATAGTAATTTTAATTCTTTTTTCCCCAGGTGGAAATGGGAATGAAAAACCATGAGCTAGTACCCACTCCTCTTGTAGCCTCCATAGCTGACCTCAAACACGGAGGCTCTCACAAGATCCTCCGTGAGCTCACAAAACACAAGTTGGTGTGTTATGAAAAGTCTGGTAGAGGTGAGATCACTAGGATATATAATATATACAATATATTTTATACTATTGATTGTGCACAATTTAGGTTTTGAGGGCTTATGAGGCCCTCTTAGGCAGATTGTGTATGTCCCTAGTCTGAATTTTAAAACCTGTCATTTCGCGTTTTGAGGAGGAAGCCATGTTGCTGTCGGTATTGTACTATCATAATGGTACATGTATTTGCGCTTTTCTCTGTTGTTGTCGCAGTTTCAACCCATGTTTGTGTCTTTTGTCGCCATTTCTGCTGTCCTATCTGTTTTAAGGCCATGTTGCTTGTTGGAATTTTACCCCAACATGGTCTCGTTTATGTGTCTTAAAACCTTTAAAGTTAAAATTGCCTTCAGTTGGAGAGTTGAAAACTTATGGAAAGACTTGCACATCTTATAGAGTGATGTTGGGGGTTATTATGTTTGGGGTCACTTTTTATACCTTTTTAACTGTTTCAGTTGAAGGTTACAGACTCACTTTCAGTGGCTATGATTATCTGGCTCTGAAGGCTCTGACAACAAGAGGTAGTGTTCAGTCCGTCGGCAATCAGATTGGAGTTGGCAAAGAATCTGGTGTGTAAATCATTCCGTACTCACTATGATTAAATAGAATTTAATAATAATCTTTGCAAGAATAAGAATCCTTTAATGAGTGATTCCCAGTCCCTAGTTACAGACTTGTACATGGCAAAGTTTTCAAATTATTCAGTTGGTCACTGTCTGTTGTCAGAACAAATACCCCAGTGTAATGTGATTAACACAACCATGCACCTAAGAGCCTTGAACTGTTGTTTTGTCTACAAGGTTATCATTTTACAAGGTTTTCAGATATTAAAATGACAGAGTGTTGTTACATCACGCCGCTCAATAAAATTGTTGTAATAATGACACAGTCATACAAACAGGGTGTTCATACTGTAAGGCCAGGTTGTATTGCTGTCCTGAGGTATTTTTTAATGAAAAAAAAATGTCAGTGTCCAAGTTGTGTTCAGTAATACAGTGGGAGCTCTCCAAATGGACATTCTGGTAAGCAGACAGTTCTACCAATGGATGCCTTCACAAAACCCCTTTTTTTCTGAACTCCCATAGACACTACAACAACAGTAACAGCAACCATTTATTTGCCAGCTTGAAGAAACGTTTACAAAAAACAGAATGAGTTTAAGTAGATCAGGAAAAAACTTCCCAGAATAGCAAAAACTAAACGAGCTGGGTAGCTGCAAACTCTGCATTTTTGCGTTCTCGTCAGTGGCCAGCTCCAGTTACAGACACTTTTTTGGCATCCTGACGGTGTCTGCTCACAAGAACTTCCACTGTACTTCAAAGCTCCATTGTAGAATGACATCTTAAGAGAGAGAAAAGAACAGAACAGAACAGTTCTATGCATTCTACTAGTGATATTTAATATCTTAATCTTTGTGTTGTCTTTAGATATTTATATTATTGCTGATGAAGAAGACAATCAACATGCCCTGAAACTACACAGGTTTGTACCAAGTATTATACGAAAAAGGTAACAAATCATTGTTATTTCCTAGTAAAAAATTTGAAAATTTGCCATTTTCTATAATCCTTTCTCACTAGACTTGGAAGGACCTCTTTTCGAAAGCTCAAACAAAAGAGAGATTACCTTAAACACCGTCATAATGTTTCCTGGCTATATCTTTCACGTTTGGCAGCTGTAAAAGAGTATGCTTATATGAAGGTGTGTTTTCTAACTTCTAAATGGTTGAACCCACAAAACGTTAAGTTACCTAGTCATATAGATTAGTAGTAGATTTGTAACAAACAGTAGAGTCCAACTCTGCTTCATCCAGCTAATAACACTGATTATTATAAATAGTTTGTACTCACTTAATCTTTCTTCTCTTTGGCCACAATGTACAAGCCTACAGTTAATTTTGGAAATCAGCGCACCTACAGTGAACGGTAGTTACCATAAAATTCCAAAAATAAGCCCGTCCATGTATAAGCCCTTCCAAATATAAGCCTCCCAAACTCGACTAACTCAAAAAAACTCTCCTATGAATTGCCCTCCAAAACAAGCCCCTGGGTCCTTGTACTCAGAAATTGCCCCCAAATTCAAAATAAAACAAAGCAAAAACTGTACCGTAACACATAAATTTTTGCATTTGCCAAAGAACTATAATGTATAATGCTGTTTGCTAGTTCACTTTTCAGGCTGGCTTGGATAAATATTTTCCTCGGTCCATATAGACAAAGTACTCGCATGGTTGAGTTTAAGAAAGATCTTCATCCTCAAGGCGAAAACTTGCTGCAAATTACTGACATAAATTTCCTTTGAACTATAAGCTAGCCCAGTGGATTTTGAGACGCATAGTTCCCTCCCAGTATAAGCGTAGCTGATTTTGAAAATTTCCCTCTGTATATAAGCCCCTCCAAAAATATGCCCGTCAAAAAGGGCCTTTGAATAATATAAGCCTTCAGAATTTTACTTTAGTTATTTGCTTTAGTTGACTGACTAATCCGTAGGTTGCATGCTAGATGTGTGATTTTCAAGAGTAATGTCAAACTGCATTCTGTGAAATGATGTGTTTTTTGCTAATTTTTTTTCAAAACAATGTTTAATAAATAGAGGATATTACATGGCCGCGCGGACATACGAAATTTCTCTTCTAGTGTTGAAAAATATTTCAGGAGTGAGCGCAGCGAACGAGTGAAATATTTTTTCAACATGAGAAGAGAAATTTCGTATCTCCAAGTGGCCATGTAATGTTCTATTTATTATATAAATACCAATGAACTACCAAACCATTTCACTTTAATAGTTTTTTGGTGTGAAAGGAGCGATTTATTATCAAGCCATAGCAATGGTGATATTTTCACATGTGAAGATAACATGTTATTTTCACTTGGGGGGGGGATTGTGAAGATATCAAGTTTTCGCGCGAAAACTCACCTGGTATTTCATTGGTGTTTATATAATAAGGCAATTTATTTATTATATCTGGAATCAGAGGGTTGTCCAATACTCTGACAAATTATTTTATGCATGGTATTGTATTGTCTTCACCTTACAATACTGTACAAAAGCATAACAATTAAAGAACGAAGCAAGACAATGATAAATTTAACAAGGCTATGCATGAATTTGCTGGGGTATTGGACAAGTATGTGTAATCAATGTCTTGGGAAGTGTTATCAGCCTTTTGACTGTGAGTATTCCAGATATCACAAAAAAAGCATTCAATAATTTTTTAAACATGCGTCATTTGTAAATGACTGCAGTTAAAGGTGATTTTGCTCACCCCTTGCTTGTTTCAAGGTTTCTGCATGAGCATACCTACCAGCAGCTTAGAATTTTCAACATTTTGTTAGCAGGGACATTAATTTTCAGCATCTTGAAGCAAGATCTTGAGTTTTCAACATCTTGCCTACAAGTTCTTAAATTTCCAACGTCGTCATGGCAAGATCTTGAAAACCTACAAAGCCAAAAGCTGTGAAGCTACAAAGATTCCAGGTTGCTTGTACAATGTATACAAACTAAGATTGCTATTTAACCAAGTAAAAATTGATCAAATCATCAGGAGCGAACTTACCAACAACATAAAGCCTATGATTTAACTTGAAGCACCTATGATAAAATTAATGAAACATTATTTAGATAACAAGTTTTGTGTCTTGCAGGCTCTTTATGATAATGGCTATCCAGTTCCAAAACCAATCGACTTCAATCGTCATGCTGTTGTCATGGAGCTTGTTGATGGTCATCCACTGTAAGTGTATCATGGGCTGGGCTCTTTCTTGTTAACTCATCATAATATTTATTCACTTTTAATACAAACACATGCTTTACCTGTAGTTTCTAAAGAGATAACAATAGCCCCTTTAAGAGGCTAGCTTGTTATTGTAGCTGGTTCTCTTGTGTGGGGTTTGGTTATGCATCAAGACCCACACATGGAAGCTCTTAGGAGCTTGTTCTCTGTGTTCCAGTGAGAGTTTGGTTTTTGAGGAGAGAAAACAACTGGACTATCCAAAGCCTGTAGAGCATGCGTTTTTTTTTAAGCGCGACCCAGAGGTACTGAGAGGAGGACACATCAACCTCTCCTTTGGAATCACTTATTGACTCACCTAAACTCTTGGTCAGTTTGAACATTCAAATCCAGGCCCAAATCAATTGCAGTGCAAAATACGCTGCTTTGCAGGCTAGACTATCCAGAGAAAAACATCTGAGAACAAAGAAGAGAACCAACAACAGTGTTACCTAAATATTGCATTACCAAGATTTGAACCTGAGCTATGCTGATAAACTGGTGAAAACTAAACTGTGCTCGAGGGGGGCTACTCAACAAAGTTTTGTATGGTGAGGATCTGCCCTGATGTCCAACCCCCTACCCTTTTTTATTCCATTTTTGACAGACAAGGTACCCCTTTCTTATACTTTCCATTGAAAATGCTACTCCATTAACATATCACTTGATAAGATAAACAAAATGAAATCAATCATACGAAAAGTCTTCTTGACATTAGGCATAGGGCACGTCTTTTCGAAACATTTTAATTAAAGGCCCCTTTTGCTAAAATGATAGATTTTGCTACCCTTTTATATACCTCAACTGCTGAATTCCCTACCCTTTCATATAACTGAAGCCTGAAAAAGGTGCCCCTTTCGAGCAGAGCCGCCCCATATAGGCCATCATAGGGAGTGTGTCCCTGGGTGCTGGGCCTCCTTGCTACCCCGTGAACCTTTTATGATGTTTTTTGTTTTAAAGAGGTGTCCCTGAGAAAACAAGATAAACAGTGTAAAGACTGTAAAATGTATCTGCTACCATTTCCTTCTTGTTGCTATGGTAACATGCTGCTCTGTTGATTGAAAGGTGTCAAGTTCATGACGTGGCTGATCCATCAGCTCTGTATAACGATCTCATGGAGTTAATTGTAAAACTTGGCAGCTATGGACTGATACACTGCGACTTTAATGAATTCAACTTGATCGTCAATCAAGATGATAAAGTGACAGTCATTGATTTTCCTCAAATGGTGTCAATTTCTCATCCGAATGCACAATGGTGAGTGCGTTTTCAATGCTGTTTATGTTTCAATTACCTTTTCAGTTGAATAACATGAATGATGTGAAGTGCGGTTTTTTGTTTGTCTTCTCATTTTCAAGGTATTTTGACAGAGATGTGCAGTGCATTAGAGATTTTTTCCTTCGGCGATTTTCGTATGAAAGTGAACTTTATCCCAAGTTTGCAGATGTGAGGTAAGTCATTTTGCTTGTCATGTAGCTATTAGTTAGCTTTGATTTTATGATACGTGTAGTTTGTGGTGTTTCTAACAGCAGTTACACTGACAAGTATTTCCCTTAAACGAAGAGACTTGTCCAGTCTTTCTCGTTTCTAAAATACGTTTTCCTTGTCAACGAAAACTTTACAGTAGATAGCTTAAGCAACGATATCGCCAAAATTAACTGATTTAATGAACAAAGCAACATGTCAACAAGTGCATCACATTTCTTTGCCGTCCTCTCCATACCAATGACATGTACCCTGCGTAGTAAGCGGTATTCTGATGTGTTTTTCGTTTGTGTTTCGTAAAGTAAGGGAAACAGAGGTGCGAAAGCTGAACCGAGGTCAAACGAGAAAACGGTGGGGAAGGGGGCGAGGGAAAGAAAAAAGTGTCCTCTCTGCCCTCTGTATCACGCCCCTTCCTTCATCGTTTTCTCGTTTGATGACCTCTTCTTTTACATAAACTTGAAGGAAAAACTTACTAAACCCCACGTGCCTCGTAGGCTATGTTTGATGTAGTTTCTTAATGGGACATTTTATGGTGGGCCTGACGCGACGATAAATTTTCGTTGTTCTGTATGTACTGTCTTTCTGAACTTGGATACTGTCCTTAAGAATTCAACTCTACGAAAATCCGCCTATATTTACAAATTGAGCGACTGACGAATTCGCTTTTTTGGAGGTTTTTTTTTTACGGCCGTCGCTGTCATCAGCTGTGTTTAATTCAAATGAAATGACAGCATTACTTTGTATGATAAAAATATGCTGTGCTGGCTCTGACTCGTCCCCAGTCGTGCCTCACTATCTCTCCCTAGTGGCGCGTCGGGTGTGATAAGAAGAAGGACACTCACCGATCCCGCCGGGCGTGCGTTACGCGCGAAGACGACTGGGGACGATTCAGGTTCTGGCTTATGTCTTGGATATTTTAAAGTGCATGTACCTTTAGATGTAGGCGCCTTTCTTGGTATCATTAATTTGTGTACTTTCGTGTTCATTCTTTTATTCAGACGGCTTCATAACTTGGATGTTGAAGTGGCAGCAAGTGGCTTCACTCGTGATATGTCTGAGTCATTTGATGAGGTAAAGACATGTGAAGACACATTTATTGCTAACAGGGAGGGGAGGGAAGAAATGACTCATCCCTCCCAAGTGTCGTATTGCAACACATTTTTTAAATTTTCATCATCTCTCAAGAGAGTGGATGGTCAGTTGCTTGTTAAATTATTTAACAAGAAAAAGTAAACTGAGTAGCGTTATTCGACGTTTCGATGTTTCTAACATCATTATCAAGAATGAAAACCGTTAAGTATCAAAGTTGTTAAAAGAGTTGAGGTCGAGAAACCAACCCTTACGGACAATTTGTCGGTCCTCAAAAAGTGTAGGAATAAATTTGAATGCCTTGTCTGCTAAATGCTGTTTATACAGGAACTCAAACCATCGCTAAACGTGCAATCAGACTCGATTCGCGCGATTTTCATCTATTAGGACATATGCATAATAATCAAGCATACACGAATGCCATGTAACGATTTGAATTCATTAGATGGCATTATCAATAATGATGTTAGAAACATCGAAGCGTCGAATAACGTTACTCAGTTTATTTCTCAAGAGCTTATTAATAATTTATATTGAGTGGAATCAGCGGATTGGCCCTTCTCATCAACAGTTTCATCCAATGTTTCCTTAATTCATTCGTCCATGTTATTTGCAAAGTATAATATTTAAGACAGTTTTAAAGAGGATCTTGCTATCCCTAAATATAAAGACTGATAAAAGAAGTACATTGAGGTTATTGTAATATGTGTGTAGGCTGCCGCTGACCTTCTGGCATCTTTGGACGATGAGGATTCCAAAGAGGATTCCAAAGACTCTGAAGTTAAATCGCAGGCTCAAGAACAAGATGACAGTGATGATAGCAACATGGAACAGGAGGAGTGTAATACCAAGAATAGCGTCACTGATGAACAGCAAGGCGCAGGGGATTATATAAAGCCGTACGAAGAAGACCAAGAAGAACAGGAAACGAGCGAGGACTGTGACCTAGAAGAGCTAAGCTATCAAAATAAGCAGCACAAACCGTATCGCGATGCCAAGACTCACGTGACTGATAAAGGCCAAGGTGATGATCTCAGCAGTCAATCAAGTTCCGTTGCGAGGTCATCGATTGACTCGAGAGAAATAAGAACTCGAGTGAAAAAGAGTTTGGATAAAAAACAAAGAGACATGCGCAGACGGAAGCGAGGCGAAGCCTCCGCAGTGACTCGATCGAGGCGGGAAAATCGGGATATTGTAAAGCAAGGTTCACAGTCATGGAAAGACGGCTGGTGAACGGGTTAGAATGGCTGGAATTGGATAAGGTGTTAAGTGACAGTCAAGAGAACCTAGTGCCGAGGCCACTAGGCCGATATTTGACGCGCTCATGCGATGACGTCACTGAATACACATACCGCGTGACACAAACTGTTTTCTATGCTGTCGTAAAAATAAGAGAATACCAATTGTCTAGTACAGTCGAACCCCCATGTGCGACCTCCTCCCATAAGCTATCACAGACCCAAAACACCAATATTTTCCCGGTCAAAACCCTGTTGGTGAAAGCTGTCGTGAACGGCAACCTCTCATGAGCAACAGCGACCACTTTTTGGAGTGACAGTTTTGTGATCGTCCATTGCTTTTAACCTCTTTTAAAGCGACCGCATTACACATGGTCTGATCTCTTAGTTCGCTGTTAATGTACTACACTATTCCATGCTATTCAGAGCATACGAAGAACTTTTAGTGACAACTTGAAACTACACCTAAGTAACTCAGAAAATGCGTACAACAAATAATCTTCCAAAAAGTAGACGTGTCTGTGCCTCTTCTCGGAAGAGATCCCTCTGTAGGTCGATTCTCTTAAGCGACTACTAAATCTTCGCACGGGAGGTTTGACTGTATAATTATGAAATCAGCACAGTGAAGTGCTGCGAAAAGTACTGAAGAGGGTTAGACAGTTTAAGAGCAGTGTCATCTGACTATAAAAGATATATTTGGTGACTACATAATCTTATTTAAACTTTGAATTTTCCACCATCCCCTCTCTGCCGGTGCTGAAGTCTGCAACCACATATAGCAAGGCCACGTGGGTAAATAATGATCATACGCTGCGAATTATCTTTTGAAAAATAGCAGTTGTACGCAAGGGTTTTTAAGTTTTTGTGGCCAAAAAGTAGCAGACGAAACATTTTGGGTTGTTGGTGAATTTTATTAAATATCATGTTAAGAGCTGTACCAATATCCCTCTATAGTGAACTATTTACACTTCAGAAAAATACATCTATTGTTCAAATAAATAGCCCTATGTTATTTAATAAAGTCGTTTTTGTGACGATTTCAAGATGTTGCTCGAACAAATCGTGAGGGGTTGGAAATATATTAATTATATTGAACTTGTTTCTCTGTTTGTTTGGACAATAAAAAGCAACTTGCGAAAAAAGTAAAAAATGCCTGAAGGAATTAATAAAACTTCATTTGGTTTTTACGAACAACACTCATTAAAAGCAGAAGAGTTTGCGACAATTAACAGCTGGATCTTTCTTGGTTTTGCGGAAGTCATTGTTACCTATTTTAACTAGAAGAAATATCCAGAAATCTATCTGCTTAGTGGGGCGAAGAAAGAGTTCACAAAATACTGGTTCATTACCGTTGAATCCACCATTTCTCTTTCATTTTCACGCCTGAAAAGCCAGAAGCTAAGACTGACCGCTATGTTGTTCACACGAGTCCGGTGAAGGTTGTAAACGCAAACAAACTTAAACGTTTAGGGTTGTTAACACGAGAAAGATGCGATTTTTTTTTTTAGAAATTATCCTCTCAAGCAAAGTGTTAACGAGGGCAAAAGGATGTACGCGAGGAAAGAGGCCGTGAAAGCGAAAGTTAGTATGCGATTACAAACACAAAAGGACTTGACTTCATTCTTGATAAGCAGCACGATGTTTTTTGTAACGGCTACATTCGTTTGAGTCGAAGTTTTCATAGACCTGTTAAAATATATTGAAGATATTGCCTTTTTTGATCAATTTTGTGCTGAAGTCATTACTCAGTGCTTTTACGATACACAGAATGCTCCTGTTCAGTTACGAAGAAGATATCAAACAAACAATAATTATGATCAGGGCCCGGTTCCTCGAAAGACGGTTAACTTTATATCAGGATTAAGCTAAAATTTAGGCAAGGTTTTCTTGTCTAAAAACATCCAACTCGAGCTCAAAAATACTGTTTAGCCTTCACTCCGAAATACAGTAATGATAACACAAAGCTTTACTCTAAGTATTATGGAGGAAGGTGAAATACAAAAAGGGAACAACATTTTAATCCTGGATTAGCGCTAATCGGCCTTTCAGGAACCCGGCCCAGATGTTTTGATGAATTTTGCTGGCATAGCCTTAAAACTTGACTTAAGGTTGGCCCAACCGCCCTTTTCAAGTTTCAATCCATGTCTATCTTTGCCATCCGTTACAACAGACGGCAGGAAACAGTTGCACTGCCTAAATGTAGTCTTTAACTAACAAAACTGGACTATCATTTTAAGAACACAGTTTATGCGAAAAAGGTTTTAGCTTTTTGAAAAGATAGTAAATAGCCTGACATAGGCCTTTTGAGTAAAATAAATCACTGAAAATGTCAACTGCTTGATGATCTTTCGTTCACTCACTGGTAATGAGTGGAAAGGATACCTTTTCTTTCAGATACCCAATCAGGGGCTATGATAAAATAACCTCGATCTCGTGTGTTAGTATTTGTGAAGAATGAGTTGTCATGTACGTAATCATAATCCTCGTATGATGGATTATATGAAGGATCCACTCGGGGCTTCAGCAAATGGCTGAGTGTAGCTTCACCTAAGCCATGTGATCCATATCTAAAAAGGAGAATTTAGAAATATGTAAAGGTTATAATACACGAGATTCCATTTTTTTCAGAAGAACTTAGCACTTTTGTAAAAATAGACTCCTCATTTTGTGGTTTCCGTAACAACGGTAGGGGTTATCTGTAGTAAAAGAGGGCTAACCTTTTTTTTTAGTAAAATCCAACTAGTGGTCTATTGTCAATGCTGCGTTCCAATTGATTGAGCTACTACTAGGTTATATGTTATAGCCCACTCAGTAATAGCGAAAAGCGCGGGCTTTTTGGTGGCAAAAAGGGATTAGAGTCTAGCTTTAACAGGCTAAATTTTTTTTATTCTCGATATTTTTGACCAACTAGTTGGATCAGTACTAGCTAGTACTAAAACAATTATTCCTCTCGCCCTCATGGCCTCTGAGTCAATAACCCATTCGGCCTTCGGCCTCATGGGCTATTGACTCGGAGCCCATTTGGGCTCTAGGAATAATTGCTATTAATCTTCCAAAGAAATACTAGCTATAGTGATAATGAAGTCTCAGCGCTTCCGTTGTAGGAGCTTCAAGCAAAATATCCTTATGAGCCACTGTAAAATTTGAAACACTTACTTGTTAAGGTGTTCCAGTAGCCTCTTCACTCTGATATAATCGCAGAATTCACATTTGCCGTCGGTGTGATTAAGGTGATGATGGTGCTGGTGGCGCGCATGCTCTGTGAAATGATTTTCTGTTTCGTCCAACGCCTTATCTTCTTCTCTGAAATTTGCCCACAAAAAGGATGAAAACGTAAGAAAGAAAGGCAAAAAAGACCAAAGTGTTTCTGACACTGAGCTAAATATGGCTATGCATTTGTAGAATAGTTTCCTAAATTCATGTATACACCCAAGACAATAACCTGAGGGGTCGGAAGCAAGATCCTTGTAACAGACGGCGACGGCCACGAAAACGTCGCTTAAAAAGTGAATTTGCGTTCTTTCAATCTCTATACCGATTACTCCAACTCATTAACTTCCTCAAATGCAGGAGAACTCTTTTTGAGCCAAATTCCTAAGAACCATATTCACGTTCAGAAGGAGAGAGGAAATTCAGTAGCCGTCGCTTGTTTAAGTCCTCCATAACTGAAACGTGAAATTAAGCATTTTCCCTTCGTAGTGGTGCAGGAAAAGGCGAAGAAATGGAAAAAAAGCGTGATGCACGTGCAAAGTTGTTGTTTTGCCTATTCAACCTATTGCTTTTTTGACGTTATCATTGTCATCGCCGTCGTGGTATCTTAAAGTCCCTAATATTTGTCGTGTCATCTCTCTCCACCCTAAAAGGTGAGTCTCAGGGATAGATTTCTACCGTTGCGTAATTCTCACGTTCGTAAATAATATAGGGGCCTTGTTTGAAAGGCTGCGCGTAAACGTATCCATACATTGCCTCAATTTTATTTACGCGCTTCAGATTTACTTGCGCACGCGCGTGAAAATTACGCGACAGTAGAATTCCACCTTAACAGCAACTCAAAAGTTTCACTAAATAGGAACATCTTACGAAGCATGCACAAATGAGAGAAAAAAGTCTGTCGAATGTAGAACCAAGCGTACTCGCAACTCATGTCAAGACATTCTCCCCACCTATTGTTCTTTCTACTTAGAAATTTTCACAACCTGAATTTTTGCTTGTTTTGTTGCTGACACAAGGTGCCCTTTCTCGAGCACCTGCATTCGCCCTTGTTACTCGCGGCCTCCATGCTAGCTGCTCCGCCACCGCTTTTTTGGCCCCATTAAATTTAAAGAGGCTGCTTGCTGTCTTTAATGGAAGCACACCCGGCTTTGACATTTATCTTAATCTTGATGAATATTTTCGTTACCTAATGGATCCAACAGATTTAGGACGCGGAGGTAGCGATGGACGTTCGGTTACTCTTTGTGAGCGAGCACTCTTTGCTCTTTGTTGGAAGTAAAGTTCTTTAGAGAATTGTGGCCGAGGCGGTCTTTTCTCTTCTGGTTTGGGTGTAACAGGTCTTGTAGGGACAGGCTTTGAGTTTGCCTTAGACAATGTATCCATAAAGTTGTATACCACAGCTTTTTCTGCAAAAAGAATGTGTTTGTGAATTAGTTAGTCGAACGCGAGTAAGTTGACTACAGTGTCCAGTCAGTTATATAGTCCAAGACGAAATTACCTGTATGGAATGCGGGGCGTAGCGTGGTCCTGGAAAAGACTGCCTAGTAGAAAAGGGGCGTAACCGCAGTAAGGCAGCAAAAACTGGGTCGCGTGCGCTACATCGCTGTGCACACTGGTTACCAGGCCACTCGCTAGTGGAGTGACACTTACCAATCATTGGATTAAATTTTTGCCGTGATATTCGGAATAAGCAAGGTCGAGGTAAGTGTTATCAGCCGAGCCAAATCTAATAATTGTTTTATTATACATTGTTTTGAAGAAAATAAGGACAAACCCAGCATCGCATGGGTGACAGTCTGACATTGCTCTTGAAAATCATGCATTGCGCTCGCAAACTACAGATGAGTCAGTAATCCGATAGCAGATAACTAACTAATCTGTAGGTTGCGCTGATTTTCAAAATTAATTGTAGGCTCTTAGCCAATGAGAAGACAGATAGTGAGTACAATGTATAATAATTTCAAATACTGGTCGCGCATTGCAACTCTGGGCTTACAGTGGATAACTCAAATATTTTCCCCAACACTGATTCGCAGGACAATGATTTATCCGATGGATAGCGTTAACATGTGGTTTCTGGGGGCAAAGGTTTTCATTTGACCATCGAACACTGGACACGATTTATTTCATCCTAGATATTTCTAGAACGGACCTCTGGAGCCAGGGTAGCGTATGAGCAACTGAGAAAACAAGACACAAACTAAACGCAATTACTATACTCCTGTAGGTGGCACATTCATTGGTCAAGATGGAAAATGAGCTTGTCGATACTGGCCTTGCATGGGTTCAATATTTTTTAAAAACTCACCGTATTCATTTGAAGACTTAAGCCACTTATTAACACCAGGCAAAGCGGGAGAAATCTTCTTCCCCTAAAGAAAATGCGCACTCTAATGTCAAATATAACAATATCGTATAACATAACATATTTCTTATTCAAGCAAAGTTTGCACTCTTATCTAAAAATATGGCCTCTTAAAACAAAAATCTGTTAATAGGCTTGGGTTTGGTTGTCATACTGAGGTTAGAACGTACCCGCTGACAACTCGATCCACGCGTTTTTTAGTCATTGAATTATGAGCAACAAAGAACGAAGATTGAGGGGAAAAATTAAAACAAAAAAGCAATAGACCTCAATTCCGTCCTCTTCGTTCAAGGTAGTTTTCACATTACTCGGTTTAAACCGTTGACGGCATACATGTTTGTTGTTTTGATAGTCATTTCATTGGCTGATGTGAATTCTTTGAACACTACGCCCCCATGAAATGAGAATTTTTCAGTTTTATTCCTTGCCTTACACAGCTGTTCACAGTAGAGGGATTAAGCTTCACGTATACGGCAAACGTCGGATTCATGTTGAGAATTTCTCAAAATATAAAACGAGCAGATAAAAACAGCTCCAAACAATTCTTATGGATAAAATCTTGAGTGAAACTACTAATTTCTGTGTAGAAATAATGAACAGTAAACGACAAGTAAAGGGGAAACTTGGTCACGTGGTACAATTCGCGTTTGCCGTTTGACATAAACGTGATCCTTAACCTCTCTAGGGATGCCACAGGGAATCACGAGATCATAAAACAAGGTCGCGCAATTCAGTTTTATTTGTCAGTTCACCAAACAAGAGACAAGGACGTACAGACCAATTCCCATTCTATTTGTACTCACTTCAGTTTTTTCTGGTCGAGAATGCAGGTCAATCTTCTTTCCCGCCAAACCGAACAGTCGATCTGCAAAAAGAACAAGACTCAATTTCAGCAGTGCACAAAGTACGGCGTTATCGGAAACTGGACCCTTGAGTATCGCTATCAAAGAAGACTAAGCATGAATCTTTTTAGCCGGCGAAAACATCCGTTTCTCCTTGCTCTTCGCCGCTGGGGACGTTTCGCGAAACGTCCACAGCGGCGAAGAGCGGGAAGAAACGGATGCTTTCGCAGGCTAGCATCTTTTCACTACCACGCAATAGCAATATCATCCAAATACCAAGCCCAATTTTTCAACTCGGGAATTTTGCAGGGAGTCAGAAAATCTTAAGTCCTGCGTGTACAGGGCCGGGTTTATTTCGTTCTCGATCATGCCTCGAGAATAGCCTCTGCAACCTGCGATCAGAAGGTCCTTCTTCCCTTCCCTTCCGCCGACCTTCGCGCTTTAGCCTGATCGCTGGTTAAGACCTCTGACCCGCTTAGTGGCGAGATGGCATTAGGGCGTTGATTTGTCTCATACTTTTGACAGTTGTAAGTGTACTCTTAATTTCCTTCCGCATCTTTCGAAGGTACCTTTCCACGCCATCGTGTTCTTACGAATCTGGAGATCTGTCATAAAACGTGTTGTTTTTCACAATATGTTATATCACGACCGTCGCACATAGGAAAAGGTCTGACTCGGGTTTCGCTTGCCAATGAGGAACCCTAAGTGATCCCTGTGATCCATCCAGTCCATCTACTAGGTAGCTTATTTATTCTTTTGTTGTAAGTTTTTGATCATTTTGTCCCCGGGGTTGGGGGTGGGGTTGGGGGCGACTCTTAAGTGAAGGGGAAGATGTTCTGAAAATTGATGATGAACCTGGGCCCGGTGTTGTTCAAGCTTTATTTCACCCTAATTTCTTAAAGGATACCATTCAGTTAGACGAGAAAGAGAATTTATTGAATGGATTCTAGTTCTTTTTTTTTTCTTCTGAGCGTTCTGTAATCAAGCAATAGGTGTATGGGTCAAAATTTTAGAGTTCCGATCCGGTCCTGAAAAACCGCAATGGTAATCTCAGGCTGCAATCTAAACTCCTGCTATGGCGGGACGACTAGCCTGCGAGCGAGGTCTCCGGAGCGCACTGGCGGGGGGCGGGAAAACCCCTCGGCCAGAGCGCCCAAGAGAGATAAGCTGAGATTGCTCGCAGGCTGCTGGACGACGAGCATCTCCGGCCCTTTTTATATAAAAAGTTTTGTTACTCCACTTCCTTATCATCGTAACGGATTAAATAACCTAGGCCCAGTCCCTCGAAAGATGATTAAGTTTAACCCAGGATTAAGCCAAATTTTAGGCAAGGTTTTTTGTCTGAGAACATGCAACTCGAGTTTACTGTTTAGCCTTTCTGACTCCGAGATACAGTAATGATAACACAAAATGTTACTCAAAACAATACACAGGAAGGTAAAATACAAAAACGGAACAAAAATTTTAATCCTGGATTAGCGCTAATCGGTCTCTCAGGAACCGGGCCCTGAACTAAAAAAGTCTATGCCCACCTCTGTTTCGTTTGGTGGTAGTTGCCTCTCCGCACCAGGCCTCCTCTACAAGCTCCATTGTGGGCTGAATGAATTTTTCAAGCAGAGCTTTGTCCGCGTGAATGGCTAGGACAAAAAATAAATAAATAAATAAAAAAAGCTCTTGATTGCGTCACGTCCCAATATTCAGCTGTCTATGCACTCACAACCGGCTCATTGGCCAGGCTCCTGCATTGGCTTAGTTCTCCAGTTGCTTAGCACTGAGTTTTCAGCTTATAGAATTTCGTCCAATCTTAGTTCTTCAAATCGAAACTTAGGACACTCCTTCATTCATTTTGCTTTTTTCCTTTACCTTTTTTTCTTTTTTTTTTTGAGGAATGAGTCTTTCGCAGGTAAATACGTTGAATATTTTTTTGAAGAATAATTACAAGACCCTGCCTGATTTGTTTACAAAAAAACTTGTTGGTGTCATCTTTACAAAAGGTTTTAAATACTAACTATACTCGCTGAAAATTCCAGAATCGCGCAGAAAAAAAATTGGCGCACCAAAGGTCAAAGTATTGCTGTTATCCACTCCAAAACTTTTGATGAAAAAGTTTATTTTATTTTTCTAATCTGTTAGTAAACAACAAACAGTGACTGCTGAATTCATTATTTAGTGAGGCGAGCTTCAGAGGATTAAACTATAAATTAACACTTTACATTTAGTCAGTGTCAGCTCTGTTAGACTTACCTTTCAGGTGGCTAAAAGAATTAATTTCTATTTTTCTTTTAAGCAGAAGCCCAAAGAAAACTCGATTTTACGAGAATTTTTGTTCGAATTGCCGAAATTCAAGCTTCGGCTAGTAAGTAAAATGAGTCTGGCTTAAGTAATCTTTTTAAATTTTTTAGTTTCATAATGTTAACAATAGCAATTTACAATTTATATTAAACCCCGTCTTTCAACGGCTTACTGAAACAATAACGCAAAATAAAGAATTTGCGTAATGCGAGAATATTAAATGCCAAACCAGTTTCGAGAAAAGGCTAAAGCCTTTTCGCCTCATGCAATGTGGAATAGTTTACACCAGGTATATAAACACTTATGCTTAACTTTCGACAATTACGATAACAAATTTACCTTTAGGTCGCAAGCTATCAGGTGTTGTTATATCGCGTCTCTTATCCGTGTTAACGGTTGACAATGCTCTCTCAAAGTCTTCTTTAAAATCGAGGTAATTTCCTGTTTGAAGAGCCCGCATAGTCTTTCTGTCCAGTTTCTGAAACATCAAAAAGGATAGACTCGATTATATCAATATATTTGCAGCGGAGGTCGGGAACCTAATAAATGACATTTTTCATGGATTATTAGTAACAATATTCAAAGATGCCAGCGCAAGAGTAGACGACAAAATGTGAAGTTCCATGAACTTGTAGAAGTCGATCTTTTGCTTTCGTCGGTTTTGCGGTTTTTACAGTCAGAAAAAGCGCATCCAAACCTTCGGTACAGGGGGATGATGCCGGCTGCCTTGAAAGCCTCGAGCCTTTTGTAGATGAAGCTGAAATCCAGGCCTTCTACTAGAATAGTCCGTCATGTAAATTGACTTGCCCATCGTGTGTTTCTCGGGGACAAGGTTCGGAGGAAGCTGAACCCACTGTGGCATTTTGAAGTCAACTTGCAATAAATGCCTGCTCTAAAGGCAAAACTGCTCAATCTCAACAATGCCGGCAATCACAATTGTACCATTAAATTCGTGCACGATCTGTTGCTTTCCGCACGACGGAACCTAGACGTAAACTAAAGAGGTCACCATGGGAAAATTGGCACCTCTTCTCCGATTGGCTGTCGCAAGAATACTTAGTACTCATTAACTAATTAAGTCACTCACGACTCCCTGTTTTTTACAATGATTATACTTTTGGTCATTTCATTATTTTTGTGTTACGTTGAGGAATTCTTTGTCTTTCACAGAGCAGGTATCGTAGATCTTCTCCTCTCCGATCTTATCCAGAAGGAAAAGTTTTCCCTTTTTTAGATCCTTGACGTCAAGCTTTACGTAAAACAACATTGCATGCAACAAAGAGCCTGCCATAAAATTGAAAGAAGCTTGTTTATTCCTCTGGGACCTTCAAACACAATAAAAGTCAATTAACAAACCCTTCCCTTGAGAGAAAACCAGCTGCCTGATTTTATTGTCACGCCATTTGTCTTTCAAAAAATGGTTCTTTGTATTTCCGGTACTAAAGAGACTATACTGGCTTGCGAGAAGTTTCCAATTCTCTCTCAAACAGTGGAACTATAATTAACCGCGTGCCCTGCAGCGTAGCCTTCGAATATCTCTCGTTCCCCGCTGATGGGAAACGTACCATGGCGGCGGCGAGCGATGTAAGGCGGCTGTATTCGCTGCGATGCGCGACATGTCCATTTTTTCTCATCTGCCTGTTGTTCTTGAGACTGAGGAAAAAGATAGCTTCAGCCCTGCCGGTAGCCTCCCAAGCACCCGTTTTCAGGTCTTCGTCACCCGTTCTTCCGGCTACTCTCGTTGGAGAGGATTGCGTGATGGGACAAAAGAACGTCCGAGCTGCCGAAAGGCGTTTAGTGTCGTCACGCAACGCTCTTGCGACACTAAAAACGGCTGTGTAGCAGACTAACAGGCGCTATTTTGGCGCTTATGTAGGCGAGCGCGAAGCCGACGTGAGTTCTCCGTCGCTTGTGTCTCGCCTGAAAAACGCGAAGAAATAGCGCCCGTCCGGTAAGCTGGTTTGTTATCACAACCTCGTTCCCAGGGTTCTCTTCTACCCGCACTGGTGGGAACGAAGTAGGGCTTCCGAGGTAGCAATTTCCATACGTCATCATGAGTCAATGACTCCTAATTTTTGCTGAATTTTATTTTGCAGTTACCAAAATGAGCAAGTTTATGTTTAATAGCCTCGCCAAAAAAAAAAAAAACTTTGTATCAATATAAAAAGACAAGTTTCCTGGGCGTGGGTGGGCGAGTCCCGGAGAAGCAGGAAGTTTCCCCGCAAATCATTTCCGGAAAGGAAGCATGCATTCAGATTCTACTGATGGTTTATTTGATATTGGAGGGTTTTTTCACACGGAGGTAATAAAAGCTAATATAGACCTGCATATGGACATGCTTCTGGGAAATATGAAGAGATCAGGGAACGAGGAGATTTGTTAAAACTTGTTGCTCGAAGTTTGTAAATCGATCTGAAAAGAACAAACATTTATCAACATGAACGGCACGAAACCAGCTCATCAAAATAAGACAGCGCAGTTTAAGTAAACTTGCAATAAAAACGGACCTGAGATTGGACATGACCTCAAAATTTCTACTGTAGTTCCTAACGTTGGTCTTCAATCTTTCCCATGTGAACATGTTCACGGCAAAATTTACAAGGGACTTCCCCCTTTCTATGCGGCCATTTTTCCGTCTTTAGCCCCCCATGCGCACGCGCAATTAGATCAACTTCCGATCCATTTCCTAGAAAAGAAATGCGCAACCTGCGGCTTCGTAGTAATAAATAGCTTTGTTCGGAGGTATTTTACCAAAACTTGTTCTCTCGCGAAAAAGAGATGGAACAGTCTAAAAGAGATGTATTGACGGCTCATCGGGTTGTAATCGCGGACAACCTACAAGAAAGAAGAGTAATAGAACAACTCCTTGCCGAAGGTGTTTTGGACCAAACTGATAGAGAAGAAATACACGCAGAAACGTCAAGATTCGGTAAATGCTGTTTGCTGTTGGATAAGCTTCCTCGGAAAGGCCCTAATGCGTTTGACCGTTTCTTGCAAGCTCTCAGACTTTCTGGCCAGGGGTTTTTGGCGGATAAGTTGTCAGGTAAATTAATCATAAGCTTACAAAGCGGTAAACGATCACGTTCATTGATCAAATCAAAATGAACGCAGAGGGCGTTACAATGTATGAATGAGCGTTTGCCGCTTTAATATTCCCTTAGCGTTTGATTGTTTGAACTGAAAAGATAAATATTATGTGAGGCTAATATCTCCACTAATCTCTGTGTGAATAAAATTTTGTATAAAGTTAGATCGAGAATCGTGGGTGCTATTAATGTGGTGCCACAAAACAGCATGGAAACAAACCGCGTCGACTGATCCCGGTCATTTTGATTTTTGGAAAGCAGCAGTAGTTTCTACGTAAAAACCTCCACGCCTAAGACTGAGCGTGGGAGCAAAAAGACATCGTCTTTATAAACGTTCAAATCCTTGTATTTTCTGATTGACGTGGTTCGTGTGGGTGCGTGAATGATGTGCGTAAAATAGCAAAGTGGAACAGGGAGATCAAGTTCCAGACCATTGAACAAGACTAGTAAACATAACATCAAAAGTGTTGGGAAGGCAGCTACTTTTCACCCCCGTTTTTTTCCCTTTCTCCCCCCAGTCCTAGTCCAATGTTGAACAAAACTTTGATGTTTGTGCTGGTAATTGTTCTGTTATGGTCCCAACATTGAATGTGGGTGGATGGGGGGTAATAGTAAAAGGGAAAACCATCTTTTTGAACATTGAAATGAACTACTGTTAAGTTGTACAACCTTCCCAACTACTTTTGTCTGGAATGGTAGCCTGGCTGCATTGGAAGCTAGCTTGCCTACTTTGGAGGCTAGTGGGAGGCTATTGTACCTTGCCTTTATCTTGACTATTGAACAACAAGGTGGAGACTGGCAAATTAAATGCATGCACAATAAAGAATATTAGAATATGATTTATGCACCTATCAATGGTTTGCCCCAGGATGGGGGGGCCGGGCAACCCACGGGAATTAGACTTCGTAAAGCGCACGTGGGTGGGGATTTTGACATCCACAACGGTCCCCAGGGTGGAAAATTTGACTCGACCGCCATCTTGAAAAGTGGAGAGGACTTGGGAATGAGTGAGTGGTCCGCCATCTTGCAAAATACCCAGAAGTCATTTCAGCGAGTTTCCCACGTCAAAGGATGGCTGAACGAAAGGTAAGGAGTATCGTGTTGCTTTTTTTAAGCAAAAATGTTGTTTTTTATACCCATCAGTTCTCTGTCTTTAAAGTTCTAATAACATAAGGCATTTAATCCTTCAGCTTTGAGAAGAAATATTCACACAAGAGCTCATTTAGATCAAAATTTACTTCCTACTTACCTGTCTTCAGAGGGTGCCGCCCTGCCTCAAGTTTTCGATACTCTCTGTGTTTACAGATTTGCTAGTATACTCCAAATGTTAAATTAAATGAAATTCTGGTGGTCCCCAGGGGTGGGAATTTGACTTACAATGGAGACCCAAGGGTGGGGAAATTGACATTTGAAAACCTGAAAATGTCCAATTTCCCGTGGGTTGCCCGGCCCCCCCATCCTGGGGCAAACCATTGATAGGTGCATTACTATAAAAAAATACAGGGCATGTATGTGCAGAACTTACAGTGCAGGCTCAGGTTAATGGTGAGCAGTAGGATTAAAGGGAAAGAAGCCAAGAAAGATAAAAAGTAAGAAAAAAACAACAACAACAACAAAAAACAAACAAAAAAAATTCAAAAGCCTGTCTCATTTTGCTTGTGAGGGATATTCCTTACCACTGTATACCAGGATTGGTTAATTCATCAGTAATATTGATAACAGGGGTGTAACCAGGGGTCCAGGTATCTACAAGTGGAATTGCATTTGAATGAACTATAATATAACATAACCATGCAAACATTATATGCATCACTTGGTATTATTTTATAGGAGAATCCAGCACAGGAGCAAATTTAAGCCCATCAAGGTCATTTGGTCTCCCAAACAAGGTTCCTAAATTTGTTGGCAGGTCAGATGTTTGTGAGGAAATCTCAGGGCTGCTGACTTCTCTAGAAACAACACTCGTATCTCTGATTGCTCCACCTGGATTTGGAAAGACAGCTATTGCGATTACTGTAGGCCATGAGATGCTAGAAAAGGGAAAAGATGTTTTGTATGTTTCCTTAAGAAGAGTGGACTCTGTAGAAGGTGCGGCAAAGAGGTTGCTCGAGGCGATAGGCATCCCAGTTGACAAGGATCCTGTCGCGCAAGTAAAAAGTTTCCTCTCATCCCTTAAAAAGGAAACCATGCTAGTCCTGGACAATGCTGAGGACTTGCAAAATGCAGACAAGCCTGCCTGTAATCAGTTTTTGGAGGTAGTTGGTGAACATGGAAAAAATCTTGTTATTTTAATAACAAGCAGGAATCCATTGTCACTATTTGATTTTCCTTTCAAAAAGCATCGCATTCCTCTGAAGCCTTTAGATGATGAAGCATCATTTTTCTTTCTGAAACATTATGCTCCTAACATTTCAGACCAGCTTGCAAGACATTTTGCAAAGCCAAAGGTGTGTGGTGGTGTTCCTTTGTTTTTGAAATTGACAGCATCATTCTTGGAAAGCAAGACAATCGATCCCATAGATCTTCACAGAAAGCTTAAAAACTGTCCACATGGTTTTCTGAAAGTAAAGGATCCTAACATTCAAGAATTTTTCTCCCTTCTTAAGGTTTTCTACAATCATTTACACCCTGAAGTGAAAAAGGGTCTTTCTTGGCTAGCTGCATTTCCTTCTGTTTTCACCAAAATGGAAGCAAAGAATGTTTTGTTTCGCAAAGATGATTACTTGGATTTTCAAATCTTACTTAACAGTTTAGTGTCTCACTCAGTGGTTCAAGAAGAAGAAGTTGACAATCATCAGCAGTACAGTCTGCATCCATTGGTGCAAGCTTTTTGCATTGCATGCAGAGAGGATGAGTGTAAAGGGTACAACATGGCAATCAAGCTTTTCTCATGTCATTATCTCTCTCTATTACAACAACTGAATGATGATTTCATTACCACTAACTGCAAGGTTGCCATAGACAAGTATCAGATGAACAAAGCAAACATTGCTCACGCCCTTTCAGCATCAACAGAGGATGAAATTTTAAAATGTTATGGAATTAATGTGTCAACAGAGGCTGTGAATTTCCTGGCAAAAGTCATGAACCAGGATGAATTTATGTCAACATATGACAAGTTTCTGGAGGTTGCAGAAATGCTGCCTGACAAAACTCTTTACAGTGAGTGCCTTGTGTCCATTGGATTCAAACAGCTTTGTTATTATGGCTACAAAGATGCCTATCGCACAAAAGCCAAAATGAACCTTCAAAAAGCACATGATCTGCAAATTGATCTTGGAATTTATGACACAGAATGTCAAGGTCACTGCAAGTGTAAGCTAGGGCTTTGCACTTTTCTTGCTGGAGACAGAAAGAAAGGCATCTCCCTCATTGCACAAGGTATTGGTGTGCGTCGCAAGTTGGTGCGCTCTAATCACTCAGGAAAAATGGAACGGATGCTTTTAGCAGGTGGATTCTGTGACCTGGGAAGTAAGTACTTATTTTTACAGAAGTAAATGACGTAGATGATTTTTACAAAAATTATGTGTATGGTTTTAGTAAAAGTGCTTAGACGTTATCTGTAGTTTACAAGCACTCCACTCAGATAATCATATTTCGATGAAAGTCTTGTGATACAATAAACATCGAATTAAAATCCCAATGGGTCAGAGACAATGCGGTTGGCTATTTTCATGCATGATCAAGAACTTAAACTTGGGTCAAACTGAGAAACTAATCCACAGCTAGTAGGACTTAAATGGGGACTTGCAACATGTTGTCCCCGTATCAATGGCTTTAGCTTAATTTTTCCCAGGTGAAACTCAAAGGGTACAGATTTATGTGTATAAAGGACATCAGTGACCAGCCTGCAAAGAAAGCAGTGTCTGATACCCTGGGGCTAGTAGATTTTGCTATTGAGCTGGTGAATTCTGTTCTTTGTTAACTTGCCACAATGAGCAAGTTAAGTTTTTGGGGGAGTTCAAATATCAGAGAAGAACTGTAATCAGTGCTCATCAAAAAATTTTTTGTGAGCTAGTTGAAATTACTTTTTGGCTAGTTCATGTCAGCTACAGCTTGCCTGGATGGCAAGTTGTAAATCTGACTTTCTTTGCACCCTGCATCTGGTGACTTTTGATAAACTGCAAGGTTTTCCTGCTACTTGGCCTTTTTTGTTGTTGCACAACAAATTACTGGACAAAGTATTATACTCAACATCAAGGGTTTCATAAGGCTTTACTCTATGAACTCATCAGTACCTTCACTAGAAAAGGTTTAGTTCTACATTACAGTCAAGCCTGGGCAAGCATACCCCCAAGATGCCATTAAGAATCAATTTATTATGATTCAAAAGTTGAATTAATTTGTAGTTGTACATGTAGATTTCAGATTCGTTTCTGCATTCTTGCATGTGTAATGAATTGTGAAACACATAAGGCAGTTGTGAAATTTCTACCAGCTCAGTTTCTCTGTACTGATAAATATGTCTTCGAAGCAATTTTATCCATTCAAAGATTTTCAATCTGACCAAATAAAGAGAAGTTCTCTTAAAATATCCACTGCTCTTTATGCATGCAGGAATGCCAATTTGAATTTGACACTAGTCATGGGAATGACTTGTGGATTCATTTTTCAAATAATCAATTCATTAACAGAGTCTTGGAGGGTGTGCTTGACCTGCCTTGACTGTATCAAGTAAAAACTAACGAGAAGAACCATTTTTCAGCAGTCATTATGATGTCGTTGTTCACATGATTTTCCTTGTTTTTCATAGTGTGTCCCTCTTATAAATGTCACAATATATTCTTACTATGGGTTTTTCTATTTTTCAGTGGCCTTGTTTACAAGCGGTCAGCACAAGGCAGCTCTCAATATTTGGGAGAATATATGTTTGGTCAAGTACCGTGAGCTGTTGGGTACGCACCCCTTCACTGCCTCACTGTTGGACCACATTGGTAAAATTTATCAGGCCCTTGGTAAACCTCGGCGAGCTGTTTCTTTGAAGAAAGAGTCTCTTAGAATGAGACACTTACTGTTAGGTATGCAAGGTTCATAGTTTTGAAATGGAAGCATTATATAAACACCTTAATTTTTTCTAATAACCTGCTCATAACATACAATTAATATGTTATAACTTTAAGGTAAATTATTAAACATCAGGGATTAAGAGAAAATTTGATTTCAGACTTTTCCTTTGGGCAAGCAGCTCTTGCATCTTGCTTGTCCATGACCACTGCTAGATTTTCTTAGTTAATGATTTATCTTGTTTGTATTAAATCTCATGGGTCTCTAGTATCATTTGCCCTGTGAAATGTTATCCGAATTCCAGAATCCAGGAAATTTTTGCCCATGGAATCCAGAATCTGGGAATTTTTTTCTTGTGGAATCGGAAATTCTGGGCTTTGGAATCCAGAATTGAGCTTACAGAATCCAGAATCCAAGTTACACTGACAAGGAATCCAGAGTCCTTCAACTGGAATCCACATCATGGAATCCAGAATCTAAGACTTTCTTGGATTATCTTATACACGTAAAACATGTTTTGCATAATGTTAATTCATTACAGACCTTACAACTCCCTAACCCAATCCTGCTATCAATTTTTTGAATTTTTCAGGTGATGATAATCTTGACACAGCCAGAGCTTATTATGGTTTGGGCTGTGCCCTTAAGGGGTTAGGATCCACACAAGAAGCGTTGGAGAATTTTAAGAAAGCCCTAGAGATCCAGTGTCGTGTTATTGCTTCCAAAGAAGATATTGAGAGAACTAAACAAGAGATCAATTCTCTACGAGGAAGTGATGTAAGGGCAGAGTCTACATGTCGCAGGCTTCAAGAGTTGCACCTTGAAACCCCATGTAATAACTTGTCCCATCACAGTATGGCATGTTGATTCAGGATGTCACTGGATTTGGTATAGTGCTCTACTCACATGTTTGTGTTTTGAACCCCTTCAAGTAGCCTGGGACCAGGCCCCATAGTGGGAGAAAAAGGCCATTTGAGGAGCGGAGTGGTGGACTAGGGACCGGGAACCAGGCTATCTGTATGTAGTTGAATAAGCACCCAGTAGCAGTAAATGTTTTCAGACAAACAGCTCTCTTCTGTAGAATTCTTTATAGTATACAATCAGCCCTACTGCTAGTCAATGAGGCCTGCAGTGCAGATTACATAACAGGTTGCAGTGTGCTTACAAAGTATCTTTTCTAGATACAGTTCCCAGACACAACTAAGCTGTGGTCAACAAAGCACTGACCCCCAGTTCGTTGACTAACCTGATGAACTACCCATATGGACTACCTTTGAATAATTTTACTGTTGGTTACTTCATGTACTTACCATTATAGTCTATTCAAAAGGCAGTCCGTATGGGTATTCTATTTTTTCAGTCCATGGGAAGGGTGCTAGTGGTTTTTTCACCACTAACAAGGCACCAAAATTGGCTTACGTTTGTCTATAAAGCAGTCTATACGCGAGTACCTTGCAAACATTACAATACCTTACAGTTTTTTGCTTTGCCTACAAGGTTTCTCCGCCCTTTCGTTCCTAGGTATCGCACACAAGCACTTGTTAATTACGTACAATTAATGGTACAGTGGCCAGACACTTGAACTTCAAGCCCCGTAATGGAAGTTCATGTAAGAGCCGTTGTAAGGTGTACATCGGTGATCCCATTTCTGTCGGATGTGACCTCTTTTAGTCTTGCATACCCTGTGGCTTGCAGTTATTAGTGGATGTATGAGGAAAATTGTAAGGCCGGTTTCCTCACAATGTAATCGTCTATGGCGGTATTATTAGTTGAGTTAACCTCATTTGTATATTTATTGTCACCAGGTTAAAGTTGCTTGGCAACAGCCGTTAGAAAAAATTTCAAACGTTAAACGTTTATATAAAAATGTACGTAATGTAATGTCTTCTTCATCTTACACAGGCAGATGACTGTTAAGGGTTTAGTTTAGTACGTTGAAATAATTTGAAGGTATAATTTTTTGTGCTAGACTCGCTGAAACAACGTTCGGTTTTTCTTTCATCGCATTTTTCAGGGGCACCCAACGAGAATATAGTTCAAAACCAGTTAAACATAGCATTGTTAATCGTATTTTAGTATTTAAACGGTAGATATAGGCATATTTTTATCCTCTAAAAATTCTTCATCTGTTCGGATTTCCTAGCTGAAAGTCTAGTGATCCGAAAATTATAGGGACCAAAACTTACCTTTTCGAAAATTTCAGCCAGAAAAAAGGCTTCTGAAAATTCTAGGTGACCTTTTTAGGGTAAAAATCTATTAAAAATGCGCAATTATACCATTTTTTAGATGTTCGAAAATCCTAGGAGAGGCAAGCAAGCAAGAAATTTTACAAAAGCTGTTCCGAAAATTGTAGATCTCAAATCGTCTTCCGAACAGATATTTTCTGAAAAGTGACGTTGGGTGCCCCCGATTTTTTCCTTCCGAGTCATACGCTGAAAAAGATTCAGTCCACTCCAGAAATATTCAGAACCGAGGCTTTTAATTCAGTGTTCTGTCACTTTTTGAAAACATAATAAGCAGATTAATTGGAGAGGGTTAGCCTATTCACGTGAACATTTACGCTTCCAGAATTTGCTCGTAACCAATTCAAAAGTAAAATACATGCATACGAGAGGTTTTACTCAAAAGAGTATTGAGAGGATTAATTCCGTTTGTTTGCAAAGCAAACTAATTTGTAAAATAAATTAGTATTTCTAACGATAGTGTAGCATTTTTTAAAAAATGAACATAGTTTTAACTTGTGTGTCAAATACGTTGTAAGTTAGTAAATAGCATTGCTACATTCTTATTACAGTTGAGGATAACGTGAAAGACCGCCTTGAAAATTCAGACCATTGTGCGGCGTATTTCGCACGAGGTGATGGATCGGAAATAATCGAGGCCGGTCGCTTAAGGGAACTTCTTACGTTCGGTTATGTAAATGTTTCTTAACTCTGTATTGTGGTACAATAATACGTTCAGTGCATCACTCCTGTTTATAAAAGAAACCGTTTCTTGTCTTATTGACCAACAATTTATTAGAGATGGCTATATATGATAGCTGCTTATTGTCACGGTTACCTTTAACTTTGATAAAGAGTTGAATACTTTTAATAAAGGTTTTAGCTATATGAAAAACATTGTCTTTGACTGGTTGTTTGTAATTTTTTTTAGTAAGGGAAAGTTTTAGAAGAGCAAATTACCGACTGAGACTAATGGCTAAGTTCACACGGCTATACCGCATAGCTTGCGCGGGCTTGCAAACCATACTTCATAGGGCTTCTGTTCACGCCGGTGATTTCAGGGCGATTTCTGTAACCAAGCTAAAGTGCGCCTCGCCGATCTCTTATTGTAAGTGTAGGGTCACATTATCGGATAGTTGTTCACACTATACTGGACAGCTTTTCGTGGGGTGAACTTAGCCTTAAGTACTTTGCTAGTTCGCTTCTTGTTTCAATCATATTGCAATCGACTATGAAACATGAAATAAGGGGGGCAAAGTGGCTTTGAAATACATTTGACTAAAGAACAAGGCTTTACACCATCAGAATTTAACTGAAGAGGTTCAGTCAGACATTGGCCTGTTCCGGGCTAGGTTCCAAGATACTGAAAAAAAATTGTGACAAAACCGCTTGGGGTTGGGGGGGTATGGGGGGGAGCTGGGGAGAGTCTTGGCACTGACTAATCAGGCAAGGGTATCCTCCCATTCGACAGGATTTCTGTTTTGCGGGAACTCGGCCTCCATAGCATAGAGCGAAGAGATAACCTTTAAATGCAAGTTAGAGTCTTCGACAAATTTTTAATGGCATTACCCGTAATTCAGTACAGGACGTGTAGCAGTTTTGCTCGGCGACCAACTGGCAAAATACTCAAACTTAGCCAAATCTACTTCTCATAACCGCGGTGTTTCTATTTGCTATTACTCGGAATGCAAACAAGTGCCGCAAGGTCCAGCTCACTGGAAAGTTTCAAACACGTTTCATGACCATGGTAAAGGCTATTATAGCGCTAAACAGGTGGTGAAACAATAAGGGTTTAACAAAATAATAACGAGACAAAGAGGATATTCAATAGTATCCATATGCGATTTACTTCTAAATTATTCATTTCTGTCATAAAACCTTAAAAGCGTCTGATACGTTTTCCCACACATGTTTTGAGTGAAAAGATTCCTTTGTCTCATAATAAGCGAAGGAGTCTTGTACTGAGTGTTCCGAGCATTTCCGCTCAACTGATAATGGACGAAATTTTAGATGTAATAACAAGAGATGATGGAGCACAACTTGAGAAAATTTTGTATGCGGTTAAATCAAAGAACACAAGTCATTTGGATTTGAGGACAAAAGATTATGAAAAGCTGTATGTGTTTGCTTCCTTTTCAGGAGCACTAAATTGCTTACTAGTCTTGTCAAAGCTCGGTGAGTAAAAGCAAGAAAATTATAAATTATAAATTTAATAAGCTTTATGCTATTCGGCAGTTTTAAGTCACTTCAGACCCAGGTATAAGAGTTATACCTGAAGGGTTTTGTTATTACTCCGATACATTTTATTATTCGCTCAGGTTTGTTTTATTTTGTTTTGTTTTATTCCTTCTAAAACTTTATTGGAATCTCTTTGGTAGTTGGAGAGGATGTATTCTCTTTGGCAACAGGTTTTCCAAATAAAAACAAAATGCTATCTAGATACTTTAATTTTTATGTCTTATCTATTTTCAGTTATCTTTCATATACCACTTTGGACCATTTAAGCTGAGTTGTTTCTGACAAATTCTCGTTTATTGACGTCAGAGAATATAACATTAGTTCCGGAAGTTCTTTTGTGCAAAAGATCACGGATAACTCCGACGACGGCGAGTAAACTATTTTAGGAAGCACGAAGGGAGCGCACAAGAAAATCAGTCCCTCGAAACAAAGGGAGCGGTGTAGAAAATACGCATTTACGCCATCTTTACACTAGAATCCGCAATTTTCATTTTGGTTCCAGATTCATTTCGCTGACGTACACGAATATGAGGGTTGAATCCGAAAGCGTCCCGGTTTGGTTGAATGTCCGAAGAATTGAATCCGAAATCTCAAGCGAATTTTTTGTATCCGGATCAAATGATATGTCAACGCCTGCAAATTCGAATGCCCTAGATGCATGAATCCGGAAATATTTATAAGTCCGGAAAAAATCTCTAGTGTAAGCCTAAACTTAACTTATTTCAAAATTGCTGCATGATTTAAGCCGCAAAACAAGCCCTAGGCCTGTATTGTCAATTTTAATAGATAAATAATTATAATAATAATAATAATTGATTATTCACAAAGGAAAAGGAGATTAAGAGGTTAACCCTGTCTGGGTTCATCTCCAAAATCTCAAATATATGTTCATTATGCTAAGCTCCCAACTCTAAAAAATACCCTGGGCCCAGTTGTTCGAACGCGGGTAAGCGCTAACCCGGGGTTAAATTTTAACCCGGGGTTCTTTTTCCTTACTAAAAAAAAGCACTCTCTCGGATAATTTTCTCTATTTTTTTTAGCATATCCAATCATCAAATTGTAGGCAAAGAGAATTCAACTGAATTGGCTTTTTAAGCTCTCATATCTGAGTTCAAAATTTGCAATAACCCTGAGTTATCTTAACCCAGCTTCGAACAACCCGGCCCTGGGAGTTCAAACATTTGGGCGCATGAATTTTAAGGTCGGAAAGCACCTTTCGAGAACTTTGTTACCGAGAGAGTCTGCTCTCCTTTAGTCAGCGCTGAGTGATAGCGGTAGGTCTCTCTCTCTCGTTTTTTTCATCCATATTGCACATGTATAAATATATTTTATTAGTTAGTTTAGTCTTGATGAATGTAGAGCTACTCCATAGAAAAGTCATCAATAAACCGGAATTGTTATTATTACTATTAATCTTATTTTTGTTCGAATATAATGCAGAAATACGAACAATGACATTGACTTTGTATTATTGTAGGCATAGATATCAATCTCTCTGCTAGTCTTCAATGTGCGTTACATGACGTAGCCGTCAGTCCACTCAGAGTAGCTGTTGAATACGACAAAGTAGACGCAGTAAAATGGCTTTGTTACCAAGGAGCCAATGTCAATTACAGAGAGGCCGTGTGGAGTACCAAGGCTGATGACATCACTTCCGGTATGTTTGTTTCCAGTTCATGCCAAGTACCCTGTATGACACCTCTGCATTTCGCACAATCACCGGAGTGTGTTGAAATTCTGCTTGAACATGGGGCCGACCTGGCTGCCCAAGATTGCATGGGAAAGACACCTGTTTCCATGGCAACACTTGATGGCCGCCTCGATGTTTTGGAAGCCCTTTGCAGTCATAGAGCTCCCATTAATTTAGCAAGCAGCTGGGGCGCGACGCCACTTATGTATGCTCAATACGCACGCAGGAGACTAGAACGAGTTTCAGCAACTGAAGTACTGTGTCGTGCGGGCGCTGATGTGAACTTGCAAGACAGAAATGGACGCACAGCCCTGCACATGGCTAAAGATGTAGAGTGCGTCTGTTTGCTTCTGTCCTATCATGCTGATCCTGCTATTGAAACAGTATTTGGGAAGACACCGCTTATTACTGCTGCAGAGAACGACTGCTGGGACATTTGTCGATTGTTGTATGATGCACAGGCCACGCCCAGTCTAGGGGCTCTGGGCAAAGAAACCGGTCTGTTTTGTTCACTGTCACGTGATCACCAAACTTGGCTTCTACAGTGTTCCAGAAAAGTGCGTGATCTCGCGCATCTTTGTCGAAGCGTTATACGTCAGCAGCTTAAAAGACAATGCAAAAATGTCACACAAGGAAGCAAACTGTTGCCACTCCCTAGTGTACTTAAAAACTATATTTCATTTGTTGTAACAGGGGAGAGAGAAGGCCTGTGAATTTTTTTCTAAGGACTATCATGTCGTGGAGTTGAAGGTTTTACTCTTCTTATAAATAGGGTACATGCAGAACAATGCTGAAGGGTGTCGCGCGCTTTTACGCACCACCAACCACAACACTAAAATCAGGCACACCCGGGTGAAGATCATACCTCCAGACGGCGCAAGAAACTGATCATTATGCGCGCGCTATAATTGACACGATAAACAGCGCGAATCCGTTAAGTTCGTTGAACGTTCAAGTTGCGAAGATTCTGTTGAATTCCGTCATCTTGAAATCCTCCCGCAGATATCACCATCAACTTTCATGAGAATTAAAAAAATCAACGGAAACCGTTTGAGGCGGGCAGAAATAACCCTTGCCTCAAGTCGATCCTCCTCAAAAACGCCATATCAAAGGATAAGGAATCGTTATCGAATAATATTCCCAAAGAAAGTTAACAAATCCCTCGTGAAGAAACAAAAAAAAAGACAGGTAGAATACCAAAAGCAGTTAGCTGCGCGGCCAATTCCAAAACGCGTACGTTACTGTCCACTGAGATCCGCTAAAGCTCGGCCTAAATCGCAACGGATAACCCCGTTAGCTGTAAATCCGGTTCAAGTGTTCTGCTAATGAAGCTGCCTTATGGTTTGGCGACCACAATTTACTCTCTGCAAGGCAAAAATTAGACGAATCTGTGGAGCTAAGATCCTCGTGGCTGCACGCGAGCTGACGAAACAATGTAAAAACGCTGTCTTTAAACTATGAATAAATCGCAAAACCAGAACGTTTTCTCGATTTTACAGCCACAAAATGCACCTGTTAGGCCTTATGGGCCTTTCATATACTTCAACAAGTGTATTACCCCTACCCTTTCATGCACCTAAGCCTAAAAGAAGGACCCCTTTCGGCTCCCCGTATAGGCCATCACACTGCCATTATAGGCAGTACCCCCGTGTCCAGGAGCCATTGCAAACACCCTTACGGAGGCTACCCGAGCACGAAAGCATTAAAAAAATCGTTCCAATGCTAACGGAAAAATTCCATCGGAATGACCCGAACGGTCGTGAAGATTTTTTTATCCAAACTTAGTTTCAGACAACTCTATGCAATTGGTAAGTCACCTTTGTTTTCGAGCTCGGTACGTGGTCAGTTCGTTTATACTGAATTTCAAAGTTTTAAGTGAAGTGCCAGGTTTCTGGGAATTCAATTTTGCCAGACTTGGCTCATTTTTACATTGCAATTGCAATTATGCCGCGCACAGATGATGTCTAGTGAGTGGGGATGAGTACTGATTTAGAATGGTTGGTTTCATTTACTGTTTAGAAGACTCCACACAGAAATGCTATTCACAGCGGTCTTGCCCAAGCGACTATGTAAGACACATACACCATGCATTCATTTTTATCTTCGAGACAATATACACAGGTCTCATCAAGGCCTCATTAAACGTTCTCGTTTAAGTGCTTATTCCCTCCTCACCCTTTCGCCTTTCCCCTTATTTCTCCATTGGCGTTTGCCGCTTCCTTTCTGCCTCCTGTTTATATTTCCTTCTTCCTCAATTTCTTGGGCTATGCTCGCGGTAAGTATCTCGTTTTGCAACCTAGATTTTTTAGGCTGCCACGTGTTCAACATTTGGTCCGGTCACATACAGCTATTTCGAGAAAGGTTGTCGGAAGAAATGTGCACGCGACAATCCTGAAAGGTAATATGGGATATGATCAATACACTGTTCCTGATACTGTAGCTGTCGAATCTACTTTTGTTGCTTTCCTTTAGCACGCGCAGACATATGTCCGTGGCCTCTCCGCCGGTGCCATTCTTTCAAATTTCTTTGAAAAACAGTGAACTCAAAACCACCCACAACAACTTTCGGGGTTGTCCCGAGCAGTTCATCCGACAACCTTTCTCAAAATAGCTGCATATCTTCAAGGTCAGTATTTTCAGCACTTTTTCCCTTTTGTTTGCAATATTTTCTTAGTTTACTCTTTGCTTTGGTTGTATTTACTTGCAATGCTTTCCTTGTTATTATTTTTGCAATCGCTCCCGGGATTTCAGTCTTAGAAGCCAGGGACTCTAATTCCCTGTCGGATGACCGGCGCCAGCCGCGTCTTTTCCTATATTGTCCTCACACTACCACTTTATCTTTCAGGTTGCAATTCCCTAGTTTCAGTGTTTCCTTCTGATGGATCCCGTGAGTGGTACATTCGCTGGTTTCGGTTTTTCTCCAATCTTATTGAGCGCTCTAGCGGGACAGCAATCAGTTGTTGTTCAGTTCTCGTAGTATGTCCGGTTTCTTATTTCCCCATGCGGGGTTTTCAGTTTTTTCGTTTCATATGCCTATTTTGTCCTACGCTGTTTAGTCTTCGTGCCTCCTAGTTTTATTCATGCAGAGTCATTGCATGAATTTGCGTTACTAGCATGCTGCTATTCCCGTTGGGTTAATTTTTTGAGGTACGCGTTATTATAAAACCCTGTTTACATGGAGTGGGGGACCCCGGTCTAATGGGGTAAGTTTCTTTTGTTTTGTGTCCCCTAGAGCGTGAAAACAAAAGAAACCAACCTCACTAGACCGGGGTCCCCCACTCCATGTAAACAGGCCCTAAGTTGCTGCATTTTCATTTATGAGGTATTGTTTGGCTTCTGCTTTCGTTGTTTGTTTTATCAATACCCACAGTCTCCAGACAGAAATGCTATTTAAATTGCGGCTGATAGTGTTGGGAACCACTTAATCATAGTTAATTAGAGTGGAATGGTTGGGAAACCCTTTGTTATATGTTTTTGTTAGCTTTTTTGGACCTGACCGTGCACAACGTTCAATAGTCATTCCCATCATTTTGAACCTACTGATCAATAGAAACATTGCATTGATTTATTCAGTCACAATTTGTGAACAAAAAACAAAGGGTTGCCAAGGTCAGGGAACTTCCAGCTTCCAACAACCTACACTCATGCACCGTTGTTTTCAGCTTTGAGGTTTGCCGGCTTTCCTAACCAGTCCCCTCTACTGACTAACTATGGCTAAATTTAGCATCAATCACAGATGATAACACCAAAGAAACTCAAAAGAAATTAGTAAAACAGAGCACAACTCTCACAACTAGCTCATCCTTCGCATGTTATCACACTTGAGATTCTTGACGAGATAATAAAGTTCAATGCTACTGCTTCTAATACTCCCACAGCCCTCATAACCATCACAACACTGATTGTACTCCCTACATCCCTCACAAACACCATAACACTCTTAACTCACACAACACTCACAACTCCCCCACCCTTAATTATAACCAACACACCACTCACAACTCCGACAGCTGAGTTGTCAGCTAACCTTGCTAGTGTAGATGCTACTTAAAAGGTGATGGGTTCTTATTGCATCAAACCTTTTTTTTTTTTTAAAAATAAAGCTCACTCAAAAACTGCCTTTTTAATATTATATCTATAGATTTGTATTCATATTTTTACCGTACTTGCTATTTTGAAGAAAGAGCCATTAAAAGTTTTTAAAGTACCTGCGTTAGTATATAACAACAGATTAACAAGACCCCTAACAACTCCAAAATGTTAAACAAGGGCTATTTATATGTTTGATTTGTCAAAGAACTCCCTTGTTAGAAAGACACGCCTAGAATGACAAAATTCTAGAGAGAAGAAGCCTGAAAGCCCATTTTCAGTAAGGTATACAGGGACCACTGTACTGGAAACAATTACTTCCGTCGGTAATAGTCACCAGTTTTAGCCATAGGAATGGGTAACTGACTTCTTGAAGAAATTCATCCGGCTAGTAAAGTTAATATCTATTTAAATGTTCTCAAACATTTAAATAACCTGATACAAGTTGACTGTTTAATACAGGCCTTTGACAAAGCGAAATATCTACTACACGACAAGTTAAACTCAAAGTTTTTCTAACTCTTCTTGTGGAAAAAGAAAGGTCCCGGATTAATAGACCACTGAATGTCATGCACAGTGATCTAATCTATTGCACTTGCATGGTGCATCTTGCGAAAATGACCGTTTTTATAGAGGTGAAGGCAATCAAAAAATAGCTCGTTGAGACCACGGAATACGTCACCAATTTATATAGGCCAGGTTTACAGTAATTAAGGGAAATTATTGAGACTACTTAATAGAGGGCGACTATTAATGAAGGTCAACTTAATACAGGTTTGAATCCACGAGGAGCCGCAAGAGGTGATATTTTTGCACCGCATCTGGCGGCACATCAAAGAATTTGGAATTGAAGGGCAAATTCCTAGAATATCTTCGCCAGTTAAGCTAGAGAAAAGGTGTTAAAAAACCTCAGGATCCAAAACAACACGTCAATCAAAATATCACTTGGACCTTTTCGCTAATGAAGAGCTATCACGCGGCTAAGCTTGAATTAGACATATATTGAAATAGGAACTCGTGTCAATAAAGTATCTTAAGTGAGTGGGAATCGCTCCTAGTTAAAAAACTGGTTCACGGGGATATGCATCTCTTCTAGTTAAGAGAAGGGAATCAGAACTGCTTTTCATGCAGGAACAGGTTTTCTTCGGGCTAACTACAAAACTTCAGCTTATTTCACTCCTTGACATTGTCAAAGCGCATTTTGTAAAGATAACTTTTTCCGCTTTATCAGCTTTTTTTTATATTATATTCCATTAATGTTTAACCTCCTCAAAAAGCCAAATAATATAAATGCTGTTGTTAAAAAAAGCGTTTTACCTGTTTTCGTGAATTCGCTACCCAAAGATCACTATGCTCAAAGGACAGGGCAAAATTTCCAGGAGAGAGGCATTAATTTTTTTCCCACGAGATTACGAAGAGAAAATGCAATGATTATTATTGTAACCATCAGGTATACTCTACCCACGAGGTTACGGACAGCAAATGCAGCGATTATTTTTAATGTAACCATCAGGTATGTTCTACCCACGAGGTTACAAAGAGAAAATTCAATGATTATTATTAACGTAACCTTCAGGTATGTTCTACCCACGAGGTTACAGAGAGCAAATGCAGTGATTAATAT